TGAGGCAACCAAGGGTAAACAAGTCCACAGGAAGACATAGACAAACAAAATACTCTCCAACAGGGAAAAGTGCTGGGAAAGAGATGCTCCCAAGAGCCTGGAGAGCAGGCGGTCATGGGCAGTGGGGGTGGGGTAGGGCAGAGCATGGCAGGCCTTAGGAACATGAGCAGGCAGCTAGGGTGGGGAAGGGCTTGAGATAGCTGAGGAATGGGAGGGAGGCCATGTTGGGTGGGGTGGGGGAGAGACAGAGAGAGGAGATAGACGTGACTTGTCCATCCTGGGGATGGGCTCATGAGATGGGAGCCACGTCGCGGGAGGGGGAGATGCGAGCAGCCCGGACAGAGATGATGGGAAGGGCCCACTGGAGCCCGGGAGAGAGGAACAGATGAACACACAGATGGCAAGTTCAGGATGGAGCCTTGGGATGGACGGAAACCAAGAACCAGCTGGTGCTGTACTCACAGGGGTGAGAGGGAGGAGTGGACAGAGGGCAGCGAGGAGGGGCTGGACAGGTATCTTTGGAGAGGGACAGGAAATGGGGGACACGGAGTTGGGGGCAGACAGCTAATAGCCAGAGACCACTGATGTACAAAGGGATGGAGACAGGAGGGCTTGGGGCAGGCGGCCGGGGGCCAGACAGGAGAGGTAAATGGGAGGATGGAGAGTGGAGCAAGAGAGGGGTGTGGGGAGAGGCACAATGAGGGGCACATGGTTTGAGGCCAGCTATCAGAGATAGGTTGGAAGTGGCGGTGGAGGAGGGGACATTAAGGACGTTAGGAACTAGGCTCATGGATAGGCATGTGTCTCAGGGGTTCTGCAGAAGGCCAGGGCTCCCAGACGGGCAGGGTCAGACTCACCTGTGCTTATCCCTGCTGTGTCCTGAGTGACAGCCAAGGTGGCGGCGGGCGGCAGCCCATGGGGGTTGCAGGGCAAGAGAAGGGGCTGCGGACCCGTCCCCACGCGCCCAGCGGTGAAGAGGGGATGATAGAGCTAGGGACCGTGGCTGGAAGAAAGAGCTCAGTCTGAGCCTCACATCTTGCCCTATCCGGGTCATCTATCTGACCCCAGGCAACCCTCTCTCGGGGGCCGGGGAGGGTGTCCAGCCACCCCCTCCCACCTCCGGGTCTCCAGCTCCTGTGGCGCTTAGAGACTACAACTCCCGGCAGCCATCGCGGCAGCGCTACTGCGGCTTCATAGGCCCGGAGTTGCAGGGCCTGCTGGGAGTTGAAGTCCCTCATGCCTCTCCAAGCTGCAGAGATGGGGATTTTTTTTTGGAGGGGGTGGGGGTGGGTGGGTAGGTTAAGAGGCCGGGGTCCCAAGGCGCTGCAGTGCCAGGGGTCAATGTCCTGGACCTCGAGAGGCTGCAGCCTCGTAAGTCCACTGAGGCAGTGGAAGGGCTCAGCGGTCCTTGACGCCGGGTTATGGGTGGGCGAGGGGTGGGGGACACCCAGGTGTTTCGGGATCCCCCCTTTCCAGGGCCACGTGCCCCTCCCCCGAG